ACACACACACACACACACACACACACACACACACACACACACACACACACACACGCACAATAGAAAAGCTTTATAATTACCATAAGACTTCATGAATCTAATTTAAATTCAGCTCTGATTAAGCCAAATTAAATTACATTTATTTTTCTAAATTCTGAGTCAGACTAGAATATGCAAGGTGACAACCAGCAAAATGAGAACCACGCATGATATCATTCCAAAATCTCTAACTAACTTTATTACGAGAGAAACTGTTGAAGCTATAGGGAGCTGAGCTAAATACAGGATTGGGCAACTAAGTTATTTGTAAGGGGTCCATTTAAAAATAATGCCCATTACTTTTATCAATAAAACAGAGTTAACACTTTGGTTTCTTATTCCTACCCCCAGAATTTAAGGTACAGGGTATCCCAAAAGTCTTAGTGCAGTTTTAAGCTATTAAAAAAACTTTAGTAGATTAAAACTGCACTAAGACTTTTGGAACACCTTCTGTAACAGACAGAAGCACAAGGTGGAGTTATTAAAATAATTCTCTCCAAAGAGGAGGATTAAAAAAGTAATAGAATTTTGGCAAAGAAAGAACACATGGAACACACTAGTGATACAAATTAAAATTTTTTTTTTAAATTTCAAATATTTTACTTTTAAAAGCTCCATGTATCATTGGCATTACAGATTATCAAATCCAGGCCACAGTCTTTTTATGATTGCCTTACCTAGTACAAAATAAGTAGATAGAAAGAAGATATGAACAACTCCAAAGCCAGAAAAGGATACTGTGTCATCAGCAGTTACAGAATTCTAAGATAGCACACAAATTCTTTTGTTGTATCAAAATTTTTTCTCAAACCTGACAATGAATAAAAAGTGCCAAAAGGGCACATCAATCTTTACTATACAGAAGTTCCTATTTAATATCTTTGGTCACAGATGCTTACCATTTCTCGCCGTCTTTCTTCTTCTCTTTCAGCTTCTTTCTCATATTCTCTAGTTTTCTTCCGTTCTCTGATCTCCCAATTCTTAAGTCGCTAAAGAAAAATGTCAGAAGTATTAAAAAAAAACCAAAACCCTCCAAGAATAACCTTGTCTTTGACCATGACAGAGTGAGCTCCTCTGCAGCAGAGTTAAGAAAAGGAACCCTGGCTCCTCCTATTACCTCTTGATAAGCAGCTTCTTTCTCCCGTAATTTTCTCTCTAGCTTTCGCCGCTCATAAGCATCTTCTTCATCTTCTTCTCGGTCTCTTTTCTTGTCTTTTTCTCTCTCTCGCTCTCTTTCTCTCTCTCGTTCCCGTTCCCGTTCTCTTTCCCGCTCACGCTCCCGCTCCCTCTCTCTTTCCCTCTCTCGTTCTCGTTCACGGTCTCTGCTCTTCTCTCTACATAACACATAATATAAAAACCATTCTCATTTCTTAAAGAAATAGCCCAACAGTAGAATAGTTTATTATGAGAAACAGCTAGTACTTAATTTCTAATGAAATTTATTTTTACTACTTGACTTCATCAGGAATGCTGATGAAGAGCTATATTCCTGGATCGTATTATAATCAATATAAGTATTCTATTAGCGTTCTTCTTGATATTCCAAGAATTTAAGTTGATATTTTTGGTATGGACCTTTGATTCTTTCAGGGTAAAGGGCATCCCTGTGAGGAAAATGCTTCTAAAAATGCAAATCTGCAAGTTCTGCAACTTATAGTCTTACCAAGTCACCTGGACACTGACAGGTTAAATGACTTGTCAATGGTCACTCATAAAGTCTGTGCCAGGGGTGGATCTTAGACACAGGTTTTCCTGATTCTGAAGTGATCTCTCTATCATACTATCACATATATGCATATATACATTATAATTTCATATCATTAAAAGTAAATTAGAGTATAAGAGAACAAAATAACTTACTCAGTAAAACTGTACATGGAAGATCCCAATCAATAGGGATTATAGTAACTATTTAAAATTATATGATTCAAAGCTACATGGGGCATTAGAGATCATCAGGTCCAGAGGTGATAAACTCCCAGCCCTCTGAGTGTGGCCTGAACCAGATTAAAATGTAATTGGGAAATGTAAATAATTTTATATTTACAAAATAATTAGGAATACAACATAACATAGATAATGTTAATTTGTGGTTTTCTATTAGAGTTTGACACAGTTGCTCTATTCCATTTCTGTAATTTTACAAATAAACCTGAGGCCCAGAATGTAGAAATAATTTGCCTGAAAGGTCACCAAGTTGGTAAAGAACAGAAATGGAACCCTAAAGCAAGATCTTCTTGGACCCTAAATCCAGCCCTCTTTTTACTACTGATTCTCTCTTTTTTTTTTTTTGCTAGGCAATGGGGTTAAGTGACTTGCCCAGGGTCACACAGCTAGTTAAGTGTTATACGTCTGAGGCCGGATTTGAATTCAGGTCCTCCTGAATCCAGGCCTGGTGCTCTATCCACTGCGCCACCTAGCTGCCCCTACTATTGATTCTCTTATGAATATTGATTATATCTCTTTATCTGGATGACAGTATGATTGGTTTAATGATGATGCTGTAGAAGAGAGCAACTTAAGTAGTAAATAAATTGGATTGCAAAAGTGAAAAAACTTCAGTGCACTCCTATTTTATGAGACAGAAGGAAAGACAATAAAAACACATGCCCCATCCCCTCCCTGAAATTTAATAAAACCAAAAAACATACTTTCATATTATGTCTGATTTTTTAAACTTTATGTATAGCAATAGGATAGCCTTGAAAATTATTCTCACCACTAAATGAGCCTTTGATTCAGTCAAAAGGCCACACTTAAGGATCTAGGAGACCACATGTGGCCTCAAGGCCGCAGTTTCCCCACCCCTGTACTAAATTAGCAAAAGTAGATATAACTCAGTATACCAAAGCAGGTAAGTTCAATGTAAAAGAACTTCATCAGTTTTGGTTTGAGTAGAGGTGGGAGGGAAGTTCTGCTTAACCCTAAGTTGATAAAAGTCAGTTAGTCAAAATATCTTAATATGCAAATATATTCATTAAGTTTTAACTATGAAAATCTAGAAAGACATCACAACTTTCTTATTTAAATAAACTACTTGTGTCTCAAAACAGATAATGTAGCTAAAAGGTTCTGTAGGTCTCCTTAAATCCTAGCCTGTAGAAGATACTCAATACAATGTTTTAAAAGTAATCAGTAACTATATATTCTCATAATACTTAACAGCTTAAAGATATAAAATGACAATAACAAAAATTAAGCTGTAAGTTGAACTAATAAAGTGGTAGAAGGTAAAGAAATAATACTTCTGGCTTATGCTACAAGGTAAAATTACTACAAATTTTAAATTATAAACAAATTGTTTTACCATAATGTAAGTCGGTTAAAAATGAATAACGTGTTAGAAATCCCTTCTTACTCTCTTGAAGCTAAGTATGATAAAAAGAGGCATCATGAATGGAGAAAGTAAATGACCTGATGTCAGGAAAACCTAGGGTTCAAATCCCACCTCTGATGAGCCACAGATATTTCTTTTGAGGCTCAGGCAACTCGCCTGCGAAATACTACACTGATAGATCTAGAGACACTTGAATTCGTATCTTCTCAAATAGATATATAAAGAAGAGCTAATGGATGACCTCTTTACAATATAAAAAGAAGCGTGAACATAGTAGGGATGTATCACATAGAAATCACTTTCACCCCTTTCTTATTTCAAGATCCTAGGTACTTTGCATATGCTCTGCTGACTGGGGCTGATTGATGCACTTAGAAAGATTTGATTTGTGTCATTTAAGTTTTTATCTATTGCGTAACTGGACTAGCTGAAGTGTTGAGTTGTAAGTCGGTTGAAAAGCAATTGCTACTGATGGTAGAACAAAGAAACACAGGGAGCTCAGCTGTAACTCTTTACCCATCTATAATACATTCCTATTGCCTTATACAAGATAGACGTTTAATAAATGCTTGGGTGAATTGAGTTAATTTAAACAGCACAGTATTTAGTTCTTTTGTCAAAGGGATTAACTTTCTATCATGGAAAGGGGACCAAAGAAGAAACTTCCTTAGGGTTAACTGTTTACAGAATTCTCTGAAATCAGGTAGACAAAGCATTATTTTAATAAGTTCTTATAATTTGAGAGATCATAATGAAGAGGGCACAGAAGTGAAAATCAAGAAATTTGAATGTCTCGGTTCTTTTACTAACAAGGTATGTGACCCTAGAATGTTCAACTTCTCAACTTCTTGATCTGTCAAATGAAGAATTCTAATAGATAACTGTTATATGATTCCAACAGAATAAATTCAATACCTCAGCAGCTATACCTACCTACCTATTTATTTTATTCTAACACCAGCTAAGCCAGTAACAAGCTACCTAGCATGGAATAAGGAAGTTCTGCCTTGAACTCCAATTTTCAAATAACTAAAATGAGAGGATGACTTCTAATATGTTCTTTCCAACTCTAAAATTTTTAAAATCAAGATAAACGATTTTGTCATACACAACTCTTACTTACTAGTGGGATATGGTAATTGGTCATTTGTGCTTCATATTTAAAAAAAAAAATATCGTAAGTCCAGTAAGTCTCTAAAACTCTGAAGTCCTCCCAAAATAAGCAAATCAATAAAGACACTCTATGTTCAGATCACCTCTGGAGAAAAATTCTGTGTTAAAATGTAGCACTTGCCTACTCTTTAGTTTCCAAGTATCAAAGTACTGGGAATATGGTAGAAAAAAAGTAATGCAAAAACCCTATCAAGTGGTTATTTATACATAGATGTGCATATATATACATATGTGTGTACATAGATTTGTACACATATATAATATAGAGGCACTTCATCAGTAAGGCATAACTAGCTATTTGTCCAGCAGTTGTGATGGGTGACCCTGGACCATTCACAAGGGGTAGGAGAGGATATTGCATGACCAAATCCACTTTATAGCCAATTACATACATTGCAATATATTAAAAATGTAGTCAGACTAAAGATAAGTTTGTGGCTATGTAAGACTCTATCTTGCTCTGAACTTAACTAGTCCTCTTAGGAAATCAAATCCACGACTTGGGAATCATTAACTCAAACTCTAAAAAGACAACAGTAAAAAAATTAAAACAAAAAAGATGAACACAATGGCGTTCATGGCATCAGGAAAACACCCAGCAGTGCTGAGGAGTCCAAAGAACTTACCGTGATCGACTCCGATCTTTATTACGGTCCGAGCTCCTTTCCCGGTCGCGGTCCCGGTCTCTCTCTCTATCCCGGTCTCGGTCTCTCTCCTTTGTCCGGTCTCGGTCCCTATCTCGCTCTCGTTCCCGCTCCCGTTCCTTCTCCTTTTCTCGTTCACGTTCTCTTTCCCTTTCTCGTTCCCGTTCTCGCCTTTCTCGTTCCCTTTCACGTTCCCTCTCTCTTTCTCTCCGTTCTTTCTCAATTTCCTGTCTCTCTTTCTCCTTTTTGCCTTTCTCTTCTTCCAGTTTCTAAAAACCAATAAAAGAACTTTCAGAATTAATTCTTTAGCTGAGAGAATCAGATTTTTCCCGGCGCAACGCCCAATAATGGGAATGGATGCACCAAAACCAGTGGTGCTTTAACATTAGATATTTAATATGTTAACATTTTATCTTATAAAAATGATAAATCAAAGTGCAGCAATCACAAGACTAGAATTCGTGCAAAAGCATAGACTCTAAACAGACCAGCAATCTCCAACCTTGGATGCTGGGAGATTATATGAGTATGGCCGGCCTTTCAATAAGTACATAATGGCTACACTGCAGATAAAAAGCATGGTGGTTCAAAGTGGGAGACAAAAGTCTCCAGAAAATACAATGAATCACTCAGCACTTGACTACAACTGTATTTTGTGCAAATAAATAACTAGAAAACAGTTTAAAAACTGGGAAATATGAATTGTAACCCCAAAGAATTCCCAACCCAGGAAAAACTACAAACTTGGGGGCTTTGGGGAAAGAATGGAAATAATTCATCAATACCACTACAAAACCAGAACAGTTTACTGTCCTCTGGTCTTCCCACCCTCCAGAAAGCTGTCTAGCTAGATCCAGGCAAGAGCTGTACTATTATCTACTTTATTCCCACCATTACAAGATGGACAGCCCACCAAATATTAAAAAGGTTGGAAATCACTCATTTCAAACAGAGGCTAAAAAGGGTTATTTGCTAAAGTTTTATTGAAAGGTATATAAACTGTATTTTTCCATTTAATTAAATAGAAAGCAAAGCAACATATCTATGCCCAGAAATCCTATAAGACAATAAAAATACATCAAGATAATGACAAATCCATCCTTGGAAGCAATTGTTGTGTGTTAACTTACAGATGCTGTGCTAGGACATGGACCGCCAACACTGGATTAACCTTGCCTATAAGCTATGTTTCTGGGAGGAAGAGCAAGTACATGGTTCACAAATAAACCAAATAACAAAGACAAAGTTTGTCAACCTGAAAGATTGCCAGTGTACCACATGGTTTTTACACATACTCAGCAGAAAAAAACCCCAAACAGGAAAAAAAACAAAAACACGTTTATCTCTTTGGCTCCATGTTTAGTGCCACTGCAATGAAATGAAAACTTCAACAATAAATGTGCATTTTTCTTTTCTTCATCATGTAAAGCATTTAAAACAACTTTAAAAAGCAATCTTACCTGTTAGACACTCTTCCCTCTTGTCCATGGATCAGAGAACTGACAGAGGATTAGGAAATAAAGCTAATTCACAAGGGATCAATCTATCCAGTTGCTGCACCAGTCTGTATTTAATGTGAAATACAGGCAAACCCAGCACCGAATACATTGAGATTACAAAAGGAAGAGAATAAAAATGGCAGAAAGCTAACAGAGACAAACAAAACTGAAATCCTATTTAAAGGGGCAAGGAAATTCATCCTTTAAAAGATCCTAATATCAAGTTTTAATTTACAATATGGGGCTGGACTACATGAAAACTTTGAAAGTAAACTTACCTCAATTTCATATACTTATATAAAGAAATGTGTTTAAATACTGAGATGAGTGATACTTACAGATTATTTTAGCTGTTCCAACAGTAATTTCTTTGGTAGCATTCCTGGATTTTTCTCCTCAAAGCTCACTTTATTCAGTGTACTAATTCTTTCTTTAGTGTATCTTTTGGCTTATGTAAATTAGGCTTAGTTTTTTAGGACTCATTTCAAAAGTTTTCTTCTTGTAAAGCCAATGAAAGAATAGATAAATCTAATTTATCAAAGGTATTTATCTAATGGATTTCTATATGATAAAAGATCTAGAGAAAAATGAAATGGGGCTAGGAAAAGAAACACAGATGTAGGAAAGGAACAGAAAAGGAGAGGTAAAAGAATCATCAATCTTACCTTGTGTTCTCTTCAGACTCGTCCGTGCTGTAAATGGACGCCCCCTGCCACGCTGATTACCCTGACAGTCTGTGCTTATTTAATAAACTCATACCAAAACATGCAAAGGTTCACTGTGCTCATTACTTTGTCACTGATGTTCCAAAAGACCCCTTTAACCATACCACCCAAATAAAGGAACAACCATTTTTTAACCTTTTTGGAAATCCAAAATAGTCCCCAATGAAATATGTCTAAGGCAGTAATATGCCCGACAGCTTCTCAAACTCTGAAGCATATATATTTTAGACTGATTTTTTTAAACCACATGATTTTATCATAATATACTACTGACATGACAGGGCTTATTTAACAAATCAATGATGACAAAAAAAGGGGAGGGGGGGAAACCACACACACACTTCTATAACATTTTCACTCTTACTTGGTCCCCAAACTTCAATGCTGAACTTTGCCAAAAAAGACTCTTATTTTCCCACATTTGCATTCCCAAAATTAATTTTGGGAGAAAAATAACATGTTTCTTGTCATATTTATAGTTGCTGAATAAAGCACTACAAAAGTGAGAGAGGGCTGGACACAACAGATGACTGGGATTTGTGGGGTTAAACCATTTCACCAAATTCCAACTTTGAATTTTGAAAAAACAAAAACAAAAAAACCCACAACATGACTATGTGAAGAAAAAAACATTTATCAACATTTTAGTGTTGAGTTACTGGCTACTCAGTCCTAGGGGAAAGAGCTAGTACCATCTTAAAGTTTAAACATTAAAATACATTTCATGCAGAATTTGCTTTTCATGGTCCATAAGCATCACCTTCAAAACTAGAAAACATTCACAGATGCGCTATCATTGAGAAGTTTTTGTAGGCAAGGCTTATAAAAGGGATTTACTATTGCACAAATACTCATTTCCAAGCCAGTTACCCCTTTGCATATTTTTCTGAGGGGGCATCCATAAATATAATAAAAAACAGAAGCTCATACTTACATCCTATTCCTTGTTACTTTCCAAGCTGAGAGTTTCATCTTGCATTAGTCACCATATGATCTCTATCATAATGGTGGGGGTCAATGAATAGATTAGCTTTATGGGAATTTACAGTTCTTCCATGCATCTAAATTTTGGTAAGTCTGGTAACCACTGACCTACTTTTAAAATTTTCCCCCTCTCAAATTAAATCTATGCAAATAATAACCCTTAAATTTAGCTCTAAATCAAACTGTTTTCTTCTGATTAAGCTACACAATTGCCCACAGAAATACACTAAAATGTATGTTATCCTGCTGCCCCCTTAAATTGTTATAAATCTTGAACCTGACGTTTAGGTTGAAATTTATGGAAAACAAATATTCTTTAATTCACATTAAAGTGAGATGACTGCAGAGCAATCATTAAATAACTGAAAAAACTAGACATAAAATGTACAGGACCACTTTAATGTGGTTCTGGTCTTTGGTTTTTGTTTTCTATCTATATATCTATTATACCTACTATAAATAGCATTTTTAATGAATTCTAATGTAATGTTGATTTTAAGTGGTCTTTTTTTCTCTTTGGATTCTGCAAAAAGTCTAGTTTGGTATCAAATGCAAAAACAAGAATACTACCTTGTGTGTGTCTCTGAATTTACTGATCTCTCGTGATATCAGGTCTCTTTTGTCTTCTTCCATTTCTATAGCGTTTATGTCTTCCTAAAAGACAAGGGGGACAGGAGGGAAAAAAGAATGAAGGTCAATCAACATCGACACAAAGAGACAAGAGAAAAGTCGAAGGTTAGAGGTTTTGTACCAGTCTTGTAAGAGAAAAAAAAAAGCCCTTCTGCAGTATCAAACCTGACAATCTGATGTTAATGAGTGAAAAATCAGATGGACAAGAGTCACAAATCTGGCAACTAGCAGTAAATATAGTCATTGTCAAAGCCTACAATGTAAACGAACCTTGGTGATGAGTGGATAAGGGATCAGTGGGGCCACTGGAAATCTGCGGAAAATCTGCGGAAAAATCCACGAAGATTTTTTTTTTTAAAAATAGAGTTCACACTACTCTGAAAAACAATGTTCTGTATGTTTGTACTGTAAGCAATACTGTATTGCTGTGATATCATTTCCTTGTCAAAGTTATTTGATACTAAAAAATAGACTTCACTCACTCTCCACACCTCCCCCTCCCACGAGCCCTCCCCCCTCATTCAATGGAACAGGGAGGGACTCAGTGACTAACATTTAAGCAGAAATTTTTCTCCTGATCCCCCTCCACGAAACAGTGGACGCTGACATGAGCAAACTTCTCCCATAATTCTTTCCGTATGGTAGGTTTTCTTTCTTTCCCTCCCAACCCAAGCCAAATGCGGAAGCTGTTAAGTATTTTCCTCCCTCCCCATTAAGGGAAGGCGTGCTGAGGAAGTCAACCCAACAGTCCTGCTTCCACTGGGTCTTTGAGAGAACCCAAGGGCCAACACTCCAAGGGCTTGGCGGCTCCCTGTTATAGCTGCCCTGTTTAAGGCTGGATAAGAAAGAAGTGACTAAGGAGAATGAAGGCATTTAGCCACACATAAAACTGCTCAAGATCATCTGTGAGGAACTGAAATCCAAAGAATAACATAAACCTTAAGTGTGACTTGGTAAGTAATCACATTATAAAGGTTTTACAGTGCTTCTAAAATAGTATAAAATACTATTCATGCATATAAAGTATTTCCCATAAACGTAGATAAAATGATTTCCATTCAACGTTTCTCAACAGTATGCCCAAAGAAAAGGGTAGGAAAAGACCTGAATATTTCCTTTTCAACCTGGATTTCCTATTCCTCAGACTAACTGAAGTGGAGAACAAAGTAGGGATGTGACACTCAAGACCCTGGGGAGGAGTGTTTCATCTCGCGCTGCTCTTTCAAATTCCTCCAGCTAGATAGATGTTCAACAGCATTATTGTCCATGGAGGGGTATGAGGCAAGGTTTCTAAAGGAAAGGCAGCTGAAAATTAAAGGTGAGTGAAGATCCTCAGTGAATGAGACCTGGTTTCCCGCTTGGAGCAGAGAAAAAAACAACCATGAAAAGGGGATAAGGCAAAGTGAGATAATCTCCATTCTAAGATCTTTAGGGCTAGCCCCCATAACGGAAAAACTTACTTTGCACATAATCAATCATTGGTTTACCCTTCATCATACAATTTTTTTTAAAAACAGAACTAGAAGGGTGACCCCATACATAGGCATAAGCCTGCATGCCACAAAATTTTTTCTATCACAAAAATATGAAATTTGTGGTCACAAAAATTAGGAAGCCAACTTCCTAAGGCATGACAGAAATTAATTAAAAGCTTATTATATTCTGATATAAACACTAATCAGTTTCTTTTCCCATCAGAAGTCTGAAATTAGAGCAACTGTATAAGATAACAGAGATCACAAAAAGTAAATCGAAGAAATAAATCTGTTTTGTCCGAAATCAATAACACATACGTCCTCCTTCTTTTCCTTTTTCTTCTTCCTGGGGTGAGAGTCAGATTCCTGGGAGGGGGCATTGAGCTCGCTGGAGTATTCCCGTATTAACACTTCAATGGCCCCTTTAATGATCTGATCTCTTCTTTTTGTTTCTTCATCTAAGGCTTCATCGTCATCATTTGTAGTCTCTGGCCTGGCATTCTTGGGAAACAAGGCAAATTCAGAAAAATCACCAACCTAGAAAGTGAAATTTATTTTGAAGCAAGAGTTGGTAAAACCCAGTGTTTTCTCCAAAACACTTGTCTGGGAGTCCTTGTGTGCAGCGCTATTTTTGTTATCGATTTAGCAAAGCTAGGCTTTGGTTTAATGTCTGGGATTTTTTTGTCTTGTCATTTTCTTCCCACTTCTTTCTCCTTTTAATACTTAAGAATCATGGGACCTAGCCTACCACAAAAAAATCAAGTCTCAGGACCATCATTCCACATAACTTGTGTACAAGAAAGAGAAAATGTTCCTACAACACAGACTCCCACATTTTCTTTCTTAAAAGTTAGACCAACTATAAAGTTTTTTTTTTAAACCAAACTCTCCATATTGTTAAAAAAATCACTGTTTAAATCCACAAATTTTATTCTTCCTCCAATATAAATCAATACTCTCCTAGAGATAGTATGGTCTTCAAGGTAGGCCTAGCTACTTAACACTACTTCCTCCTTTACAAAAAACCTGACTCTAATGTTCCCCTAATCTCTGCATTTGAATTCTATTTGTTTCAACTGAAAACCTATTAATTAAGGATAAAATTTGGTTTGTGTTGTACAAGGACTAATGCTTATTCAATTAGTTATGATTTCAAAAAATTTAACAATTTGGACAGAATACTCTCAGTATCAGATTTTTCCATGTGTTATAGAATCCTCAAAACTTGGTGAGTGAGGAAGAAGTGATAAGCAGGACAGACATAAAACAAATTATGTCTATTTTACTGTTCTTTCTTAAAAGTATCAAGTTCAGATCAATTTACCTGCCCTGCATTGGTAGCTTACGGTCACTGTCACAGTTATAGTCAAAAGCCAGGATGCTGTTCCTGAATAAACACTTTGATTATGGTGCTTCATGATCCACAACTCACATACATATGTAATTTGATAAGAGTCAGAAGCTTTTCGGTTCACTTTAATAAAACAAACAAACAAACAAAAAAATAAACAGGAACCATGTAGTGCTACCTTCTGCATTCGAAAGGCTGTAACTAGTTGATCATTAATTCAACAAGTATTTACTAAGCACCTACTGTATGTAAAGTGCTGTGAGAGATACAAAAATACAGACTACAGATTTCCTAATAACTTGTGGGGGGGGGGTTGTTTCTCAGTTGGAGAATTGTCATTCCATATAGCTTAACAATTCTTAGTTATTATGTGTATCCTAGCAGACATGGCTCCAAAGTCAGGGAACTGTATCACTGCTCAAGTAAATCCATAAATAAAAGATTTCTTTAAGATTCATGGTTTTGTTTTATATATATAGCATATGCTGATGTTGTGAAAATCTAAAAATTAGGCTGAGTGAAACTTTCATAAACAAGCAACATTTTTCATTAGTTAATGAACTCATTCCCACATGCTATGGACTGGGAGAGAAAAGCCAGTAGTAGATCAAGAAAAACAGACAAATCTGTGAAGAAACCCTTAGGCCAACTTGCGACATGCAGAAAACTCATATTTTCTTAGCTGATTAATATGAAAGATGTTATGAGGGGCTCAACACTCCTAACAGGCAGGTAATATACAAGTATTAGTGAGTTGATGCATTATTTATAGGTTGGCTAATTTTGGTGAGCCAAAAAAGAAATATATGTTTACAAGGCTGGGTAAAAGATTGTAGGCAAGACTGGAGAGCAGGCAACAGAATCACATCTACTATCACAAAAGAAGCAGAATGGAAGAACAAGGAGATGTTCAAGTTTTGGACTGGCAGAAAAGTACCCCCCCCATCTTCAAATAAATCTCTCCACTCAACATCCCCACTTCTTAGGGTACCTTAAAATGCCCTTGAATAAAGTCATTCACCTACTCACCTGGTAAGATTAATAATTTATGTCAGACAAACAGTAGTAATAGTAATGGTAAATAACAACTATAACAATTCACATTTTTAGAATCTATATACTTCTATAAGAGGAGGACAAGCTGCTTAAAATTGTGTATGTTTAATTATAATTTGTACTTACTTATAAAGCTGTCTTAATGAATTAGTTCTGTTTGGAATAGTCTGTACCACTGTTTCTCTGGAAAGTTAACCTTGTCCAGCCTCCCCTTCCTACCTTCATCCCAACCTGGAACAAGCAAACCAAGAGTCATCCACCCACTGTGGGCGGATAAAATATTTAAAATAACTACATACTTTTTAAAAAAGTATGTTCTTTGGTCATAACCACATATCAATATGATCTATTGAAGCCCTGCATAAAAATTTCAAGAAAAGAAACACTTCACTCCAAACAGGACAGCTGACCTACTGGAGTGACTCGCTGAGACACATACCCCATTGGATGCTTTCCTCTTCGCTTTCCATTCATCTAACTGTGCCTTAGTCTTCGCATCAACTTTAACTAGGAGCTTCTTCTCACCAATCTGAAGATCATGCAATAATCGAAGGGCACGGAGGGTAGATTCAGGCTCTTTATATTCACAGAACCCAAAGGCTAACAATGGATATGAAGAAACGTGAGAAAATACCAATGTATTAATGAATGCCAGATTTTTCTATTATTAAAGCAAATTCATTATGGGTATATGCTTACAGTATGTGGGTTTTACAGGTCCCTTTTATGGACTTCACTATTCATTAGCACCTCCACCAAGAGGGAGGAGGGAAGAAGAAACTCAAATTAGACAATTTACTATGTTATTCTCTGATAAAATTATAGTTGGAGGTTGAATTTAATGACTAAAATGAGAGTTTTTCTCTTACCTATGGATTTTAATTCATACTATCCCTGTTCCCCACATTATTACTAGTAACTGAGAGCTAACTGCAGTTTAAACATAAGGAAAACAAACATTTTTCAGTTGGGAAAAAAAGGACATAAAAGAACTGTCAAAATACTCAATGAGTGACAGGAAAATTCCCTGTACATTTTTTAAAAGGTAAAATGAAAATTTTTGATTGCAAACAAAGAATGTTTACATTTCCTCAATTTCTTGAGTTTTGTAAGATTTTTTTTAAAATGTACATTTCTTTTTACTGATAGATCAACTTTACTATTACTACCACCTTTGAATAACAAATGAAAGGGCTCTTGTATGATTGAGTTTCCATCAAAAAGCACAAAGTGACAGTTTGTTCACTTTTGGTATATTCTAGAGCACCATGAAACCCTGCTTATCTTCCTCCATAGTTCCATCCTGATCACGGAGCCCCTTTTCAAACCTCCCACCCCTTACCTGTTTCTGACACATGAGGGAAAATACCAAAATAAAATATTAAATAAAACACTAAAACAACAAACTGATCTGTCATGTTCTTTTCTTTTGCCTCCACTTGGATGTACTGACTCCCGGCCATCTAGCTCCAACCCTCAGTTAATCCCTTCCCAACTACAATCCAGACAAAGAGGACAACTCCCATAAAGAACTGTGTCCACGCAGCATAGCAGAAGAAGTGAATTATTCATTTAACTTACAACAGAGGCAAAAAAAAGTTCATCTACCTTGAAGTTTTCCAGATGCACCTTGAACTCTCTTCCAGCTCAAAACTAAACCACATTTCTTTATTTAAAAAAAAAAAGAAGAGAAATAAATGTTATTTATAAAATCAACTAATTTTTAATGCAAAGAAGCTTACATTTACAATCAGACTAAAATAAAGAAAAACAAGAAAAAGGTAGAAGGACTTACTTTTATTAGAATTCTAAGAGATTCAAACTTTTTTTGTTAAGTAAAACAAACCTAACATGTACAAGAAAGAAAAAATGAATTTTGCCACATCTCCATAGAATTACATACCCTTGTATAAACCAGCAATTTCCACCAGAAAATTTTAAATTAATGCGGAATTTAATCATTAAAATGTTTGATTAGAAGTATGACATAAAAACAACTTTTGCTATCATCATTTTCAAAAATGAGGGGTTGAAAAAGAGTTAATCAAAAGAAAACTAGTTTGAATCCCATCTCTATGACACAATATATGTTACCATAGGTCAATGACTTAACTTTTCTATACCTTGGCCTCTGCAAAATGGTTATAAAAGTTATATTAACTACATCACAAGGTTATTGTGAGGATCAATTGAATATATAAATGGTTCATAAATGAGCTATAACTAGCAGTTAAAAAATATTCTTCAACTTACAGCTAGGAGCTGCCTAATAAGCATATCAGAAGCTTTCTCAGAAATGTTGCCAACAAAAACTGTAGTCGTGGGGCCACTGTTTTCATCATTCTCTTTGTTCTTTAGGCCTGGATGATCTTTTCTGGCTCCCAAATGCTTTCCAACCATGGACACAGTGGGTACTAAAACCTAAAGAAGAGAAATAAATAATAAAATGTAGTTTCGTCCTTTCAAGCAACTGTCTACCAATTTTAATATGAACTAAAGCAAAAGATTCAGCAGTGTAAATTTACAATATAACACACTTTGTATAGCTATTATTACTGTTTTATAAATAGTTCATGTCTTCCTAAAACCCCTCTGGAATGTTTATAGCACTTTCCATTAAACCAAGCATGTTGTTTTCAACAGAAGTTGTGTATACCTCTAACTTTTAATTCTAACTCTCCTCCAAAGAGAAACACAAGAAAATTAAGAATGGTTTTTTGAAATGTCCTATTAGTTCAGAAAGAGAAACCAATAACTCATCTGACAACATCAGATCAATTCAGTAGTTTAATTAGGACAGTACAAGCAGACCCTGAGTTTAAAATGACCCATATTCACAAAAGGGATAGGTGAAGTCAGGCCCCTGCTTTGTAGCAGCACTTCCACCTCCAGCTCAAATCCCACCAATCTAAATCCTTGGGGAAAAGTACTTGGGGATTTTAGATAACCTCTGACTCAGAAGTGGAAGAAGGGAGAAGAAGCAAAAACAAAAAGCAAAAACAGATAAGAGACTACAGAACTTCCTGCCAAGTACCCCATCAATTCCCTCTATAGCCTAAAATTTTAAGAATCAAGTCTCTCATAGGAATACAAATCATCTGGGAGGATTAAGGGATACTCATTAATGTATTAATCAGCCACTTTATGGATCAATGTAGATTAATTCAGACTACCTTCCTTTTAACACTGATTTTCCTTTAGTAAAATGATAATAATACTTGCACTACATACTTCATAATGGTGCTCTGAAGAAAGCATTTCATAAAACCTTAAAACACCATATAAGTGTGAGGTATTTAACACCTGGCTGAAATCATCTGGACTGAGAATGGAAACTTTAATTAAGAGAGGAGGAAAGATGGGTAATTCTGGAGTTTGTAACAAGGTATATTTTTAGAGAATGGGGAAGCCTGGATAGGATGCCACACTTTAGGCCAATATGAAGGCACTGAGTACGTGAAGAACCTGAAAGTATGTACAAAGGTGAATGTGAGGGTAGAAAAAGAAAATCTTAGCCTACCCTAAAATAATGCCTTGAGTTGGCTTTATGCTCAGAAAAAAAAAAAAATGGGGGAAACTCTTATTAAAAAAACAGAGGAAACTCTACTCCCAGGACCCAGAACCAGGCCTGGCTTTTACTGTTACTACTATAGCCCAGCTATGTTATAGGCTATTAAAAATATAATTTTTCAATCTGGCTTGGGAACCTAACTATCACTTACAATGTTTCTTTAGGAATATGTGATCCACAAAAAAAAAAAAAAAAAAAGAATATATGATCCAAGTTCTAAGCAAGCTGCTTAAAAATTAACTTTTGGAGTATAATGCTATAATTCAGTCATACGTTAGAGACTGATGGTACATGTAATTTCTAATTATTCAAGTTAATATGAAGAATAGTTTAAAACTCTGTAGCAGACTGTGCCTAATAATTAGAACAGCTTTACACATCACAACTTACAGGAATACAGGTAGAAACAATATTCATGGTTGAAGGGAAAAGACTGAAGTCAAAATCCACTCTGGCAATGATTCACCTAAGAATTTTAAAGGGAAATGGGAAGGTGGGCATAACAATTAATTTGTTCAATTAGTATCTGCTGAATTTATCTAATGAAATGCTTAAACCTGAAAAAGGTAAAGAAGGTACTGGGGAAAGGAAAAAAGCAAAAGGGACACTACAAAATTATTATCAAAACTGTTAAGACTTTACCTATAGTGCCAAAATGAACAGGATTCTATTTTTTTCCATGAGGAAAATTCAATTTAATCCATTTTTCCCCTATAAAACATAAATTCTTATTGACTGAAATAACCTTACTATATATTCTTTACAACTCGGACATGGGTTTCATTTTTAGAAGGCATCATTATACATTTTAAAGTACTGATTTTTTTGGAGTCAGGAGAACTTGAGTCCAAATCCGGGCTCAGATACATGATACTTACTAGCTGTGTGACCCTGGGCAAGTCACTAACCCCAACTGCCTCACCAAAAAGCAAAAAAAAAAAGTACTGATTTTTTTACTAAGTTTTATTGCTATCTCTGAACAGGCTTCTATTAAAGAAGATTCTCTATTGAGAGCCAACATAGCGAGAGCCAGCAAAGAATGCTGGGATCTGAAGACCTGGATTACAAGTCCAGCTGTGCCATTTATTAGCCATGTAAGCTTGAAAGACACTGCATTTGATATCCAAAACCCTAGGTCTGAATCTCAGCTCTTCTACTTACTTAGCTGTATGACCTTGGCAAGTCACTTAACCTCTTTAGGCCTCAGTTTCCTCATCCATAAAAGGAGAGGCTGGACTAAATAAGGTGACTTCTAGCTCTCAATCTATGGACCTATGAATTTAAGTCACTTCACCACTCTTAGCTTCAGTTTCCTCATCTACAAACTGAGGATAACAGTGCTTATACTACCTTACAGTTCACAGGACATAGAGACTGTGAAGCACTCTATAAATATGAGCTACTATTATGCTAAAATTATAATAGTAACTTGCAGGAATTTGCACTGACACAACATATACTAAATTATGAATAAATGAACCTAGTGTGAGGACTATGTATACAATAGAATCCTGCTTCTTGGGGTTTACAAATTGTATACATCCTACTTGTCCCTTTACTATTTTCATCCTTTTATGATTCTTTTCTGAACCAAAGAAATGATGAATTATAACTTTTTAACAAATATCACTCATTTATGTCAACATGAAAACAAATTCTTCTTTGTTCAACATGGAAAAAAAAATAGGCTCAAAATCAAACTGATTGTCTCATATAACAGTGCAAAGCATAGCCTGTAGGCTTCAGACCAGAACCTTTGGATTTGAAAAGATATAAAAATGTGTCTTCCTACCAAGAATCCTTCTAAGTTTTTTGTTTTTAGTTTGGGAGTGAGAAATATTCCACAGGCAACAAACTGCAAGGATGAATTTGAAAAAAAGAATCTAGCAGTTATCAAAATGTACTAAGCTAATCTAACTAATTTAATGATATAGCTAATTGTTATTTCATTGTACAAGAAATAGGTATAAATAATAAATAGTCCATATATAATTAATATTACTACTTCTAATCAAGTCAAGAATTTCTGGGATTAACCCTAGGGAAAGGAGGAGGAACTGGACAGAGCAGAAAGTTGCTCTAAGGAAATCCTAGATTCTTAATTCACAGGGAATCTGATTTTTCCAGAGGAGGTCCTTTATGGCACACAGACTCTCCTTTCCCCTTCTTCCCTCACCCATTTGCTCTCTAGAGGCTGAGATCTAGTCAATGAGGAGAATGAAGAAAACTATCCTTACTTAAGCCAAGTTGGATAGATTATAAGAAATTATTCATCTCTTCACATAGTTGAGATGCTTTGAGGGAATAGGAAATGTTTAGTTACTCAGGGCATGGGAACAGTGATTAAGATGAACAATTTTGGAACATGGAACACAAAAGGAAAGGGAAAGCCTTGGGGAAGGACAATACATTTTTTTGGGGGAGAAATGTACTTTGGATAATCCAGGACCTGCATGAAGACAATGGATTCCTAGGGAAAAGGAAAGGGAAAGCAAAGGGGAAGAAGAAGAGAGACAGAGGTAAGGAGAGACAGAGACAGAAAAAGGAAGGAGGGAAGGAAGCAGAGATGGGGGTAAAGGGGTGGGGGTGAGAGTGTAGAATGACGTTCAAGATGAAAACTCTCATTTCACCTTCTTGGAGTTTCGTGCAGCAAGACCATCCACAGCCACACTACCTAGTGTGAAGTGAGAATAGCCAGGGAGCCAGTCACAAGACATGGACCCAGGACTTGCTGTGTAAAGCACACGAAAGGTGTTCATGGGAGTATTTTATGCATGTACAACTTGGCATCTGGATGTTGCAGTGTTGGACTTAAAAGTCAGAAAGATCTGGGTTCAAATCTTGAACTTACGTTAAATCTTTAGAAACTTACTTAGCTGTGTGACCCTAGGCAAGTCCCTTAACCTCTCTCAGACACAGTTTTCACATCTGTAAAATGGGGATAATAACAGCAACTACTTCATAGGGTTATTGTAAAGATTAAAGAATACATCAAAACAGTCTATAGACCTTAAAGTACTACAGAAATGTGAACTATTATATAACTTAACACAAATTATGCTTGCTACTCAAATAATTTGACAGAAACTGATGACAGCTTTCAGTTAAGAATTCTAATTATTCTTTTTTCAAATAAAATTTTAAGTGATATCTTTTTTTTGTCCTTGCCTAAATTTGCCCTTGTAACCCTCTCTCTTCCCCTCCCAGAGAGCCATACTATAACAAAGCATTTTTTTTAAGAAAAAAGGAAGAGGAAAAAAAATCTGCAAGTCTGATTGATATATATGTATATAATTATTATTTTTATTATATATATCCTAATAATATATGCAATGTTTCTAATTATTATTCTAAAAGTATGTATAAGCACAACAAAATCAACCTAATTTAACAATATTTTTAGCTTAAAAAAAGGATACCCTTACTCCTCTTTAAATTATACTTACAGTTGGAGCAGGAGTCATAATGCTCATTGGTACAGGAATCATTGGAGTCCCTAAAAAAAAAAAGAGGAGAAAAAGTACTATATCTGTAAGATTCTTAGAAAATGAAGTCTATCTTTATTACATGCAATGAAAATATCACTCAGAAAATTAATACACTACTCAAAGTCTACATACTGTTTGAAATATAATTAATGAAAAGGTGGCACTCATACAAATGCTATCATTTTGAATGCAAGTTGATATCAGGCAAGTCTAAATGGCATTACATGCAACAAAAAGCTATTTTTAAAGCAAGCAGAGTTTTATAACATGCACAACTTTCTCTGTAAGAACTGAATGATATTCTGCATTTTATTGTCAATTCACCAGGTTCAGCAGATTCCCCCAAAACTAATGTTTGGTTAAATCAACCTACATCATAAATGTGAATTCGCTTATGTGTTAACAGTAATTCTAGTACTTTCTTTTCAAGTTAAAAAATGTGGCCACTGAGAAATTAATTTGGAAAAAAGAGTACAGTATTCTTACAGTATCAAATAAAAATCATGCAAAGACTGAGATTAGTCTAAAAGTCACTAATGAAGAAGAAAACCTTATATTTTGCTATGTCTAAGATCTGTTGTTTTGAAGACATTGGGTATTTCTTGTAAACCTACAAAAGTTATAACGACAGATCAAGTCTATTAACAGATTAACTTCCATGAAGAATCAACAAATTAGTAGATTCTGTGTGTTGCCATTTCTGTTCCTAACTTATTAGTTTAAGTGATGGCTACCTTTAATTAGGTACTACTGATAAATCAAAGAAGTTTTAGTTAGGTCCAGCAACATGATAAATTGTTACAAAGGCTAATTTTTAAAACCATCCATTTGGTGAATCATCAAGTTAACAATATTCTAACCTGTAACATACACAAAATATAATACAATGACCAATACTGGTTTCAAATGATAAATATAAAACTGCAAGGGAGAAGGGGGGAGAGAGACTGTTGAATGCTGCTGAATGCTGAATGTTGCTGACACTGACAGGGTTACAGAGTGGTTGGTTGGATTGATTATTTTACTTTGTTAAAAAAGAGCTCTACAAGGGAGAAGGGTTATATTGAAAAAATGTTTTGGGACAAAAAACAAGACATCAATAAAACTGTAAAAACAAAACAAAAATGTGTGCATTATAAATCCAAGTTTAGGAAGGTTTAAAAAATACTGTTTTTAAATAATCTAAAAAGACTTCTAGTTGCCCTGACCATTTATGCTAAGGATTATGTTAAGGATTCACTTCCATCTAAGCCTGATGCAAATTCTTGCATTTATGTCTATAAATGCAAGCTAGAAATTGAGATATAAATAAAATAGAGGCTATGTACATTTACATTAATCCATTTTATAAAAATTAATCCATTTTATTAATCCATTAATATGTTTTAGAAAAATTTCCAATGCATTTCAAAAGTATAACTTGTAAAAAAATTATGAAATATGCAGATTTTATGGTTTATGAAAAACTTTTCCAAATAAAACCTCAAAATTAGAAACCAACTTCTGAAACAAAATATTTCATCTTAAACTCCCCAATCAAAACCTTATAAGAAACGAAAAAACAGAAAGCAAAAGAATTACTTTACATCCCGAGATCTCAAACATTATTCTTTCTTTCACATGTAAGCTTCATCCTTGAACACTAGCCATAAAATACAAAATGACAGCAGACAGAAGGAAAAATTCATTTTTTCTTTTTTTTATAATCTAAAAATATTAAGAGTATATGTCTTCCCCCCATCCTGACCTACCAATTTCACTTGAAATAAAATTAATAATTAGAAGTGTGCCTATTTCTCAAACACAATTTCAATACATTAAGAAATGTCTCAATACTTCAACTATTTATTTTATACCTTCTGCATATAATTGTTATAATAGATTATTTCAATAATTGGTAGTGTAATCATACCCCAATTATACATGCCAATCAGGTACTACAGTTCTGAGTTACATTAATTTAGTGTATTAATTTTCTACATTTTAAACTATTAATGATGTATACAGCAAGCAGCTGATGATGACTATATAGAGACTACTTAGGCAAGATCTGTTTCCCAGAGGAAATACGATTATTACATTTTGTCCCCCTGGAATTAAAAGTGTAACAGAATTACCACTACCTAAATGAAATGAGAATGACTTCACCTTCTAAATGGAAGAGGAAGATTGGACATCTGGTTTGGGGGTCTGCTGACCCATAGTATAAGAAAATAAAGTTCAACTTTTTTTCTTGAAAGAGAAACATGCCCTACTTACCTTCTATTTCCCTTTTAAATTTGGTATTGTGTTCATCAGAAAAATACATTACACTTAATATTTCTCCTCAACATCTCAAAGGGAGTTAAAATTTCTCATTTGTCTTAACAAAAACACTGTAAGATATAGAATGAATATTTACCTAGACCAGGGATATTTAGTTACTAAATTCCCCAAGGGTCATCTTTCTGTGATTCTAAACAATCAGGCTGGAAATTACATCTAGAAAGCCCTATTTCTCAATATATATGTATCCTTACAAAACCATCTAGAAGAACAATACTATTAAGTACACCTCAAGTACACCAAGGCTTTATTTAAGAACATTATGATTAGGTCTACCATTAAACCATCCATTAAGGTTAGGTCGGAAAGAACAATTTTAATTACTAATTGGGAGGTCACTGAAGGGTTTACTGTCTCAAGCGTCCTACTCACCCTAACCTTTCTCTTTCCCTTTAGATCCTCAAACACTCCTTCCTTACCATATCCTTGAGATTTTCCATTCCCAAACTACTGATGAGGTGGAATGGATGCTGTTGATTTGAAATTTAGGTTAAAAAAAAAAAAAAAGACAATAGATAAAACATGGTCATATGAGGTTGGGAAAACTGCTGCTTAAATTTCCACTTTTGCTCTCAAGAATGAGAAACTAAAACTAAATACATATGCACAACTGAATACAACACTACTGATTGCATGTTTAATAAGAACTTCTGATACAGAATATCCCCTCCATCTTTTACTAGACTAATAAATTCATTTCCCTGGGAACACAAAGCATATATAAGAAGATTGGCCTAGAAGAAACTGGTAATAAGCTAAGAAGATTATCTTCTATAAGTAGTTTATATTCAGAAGACTGGAGAACTAAAGGTTGTTATTGCTTAGCATACTGGTTATCTAGTGGACCACATTAGTGTGAGGATCACAACACTGTTCAGTTGCACGTATGTAAATGAGTTGACTTCCACAGTCTAGTTTTCAAACTAGCTTCTAACACAGGATAGCCACATAGATAAACAGAATTCAAATATTCAGTTAAGGTCACAGGAACTAAGCTATCTTCTGTTTCAACCCCCCAGGTATTGTTAAGAGATCAGGCTTAACCTGTGTGGCTTTCTAAGAGGAAGTACGTAACAGCTGAATCTGAGATTTGCAGAGCTTCTGACATCAAATCGTGTTGTACCTGCTCTGTGAATACAGGAATCAGTCTACAATATAATTTTGCTAAGCAATAGTTAGGGTCATCAATGAAAGAGACATTCATGTGTAAACTGTAAAATTCCAACTTAAGAAATTAGTACATGATTTAAAGACTCTCTAAAAGGCTGAAATACTATAGTCATTATAAGGGAATTAGAGTTAACTCCTGATTTCAGAATGATGCAGAACTGGATTCCACATGGGAAGGAACTGTACCCAATTAAATTCTTTGTTTTTGAATGATCCCATAAAATAATACCTAAATATTAACTTTATGCGAGTTAGTAGACAAAGCTCTCATGTCTTAAAAAAATAAAGTTTTAATTATCGACTACTTTTATCTTACTACCAAGGTCTGGAGTAGTTATCTAAAACATGGCATAATGAACCTTATCTTCTTAGAAGTTACGATAAAGTTATGTCCTAGAAGAGGTTAAAAAAATCCAGACATTTGTAGATGAACTCTAACAGTTTGGATTAACATAAACACCATGAAACCATCAAAACCAGCACATTCAAATCAGAAATTTATTTAAGACATTCCAGAAAGTACTGGTTCCATGACAGCCACAAAGGTATTCCTTCCACAGTAACAGAACCAGCTTACCTGGAGGCACAGGTGGAGGAAATCCCGGAAACTGTGGGGGCGGGATACCTGGTGGGAGAGCTGGGATTCCCATAGGAGGTCGATTCAAGTGAGGAGGAAAAGACATTCTTACTGGAGAAATCTTTAAAAAAATAAAAGTAAAACTCTCAAAATACTTTTAACTATTTTTCCTCACAATCTAACATTTCTTATTACAAATTTACCTTAAATGTGCCAGCAAATGATGTTTTCTGTCTATTCATTTGCAAATGAGTAATCCTTATATTTTAATACTTTTCTAAAACATTAATACATGGCCAAAACTCAGGATCAACTACTTGAGAAGTCCTTTAGAGAAAATGTTTTTAAAGTGAATAGCTATGTCTAATTTGGGAAATAGGAGAAAAATGCTGCAGAATTTCAAACATAATCAGCAAGATAACACTTTATATCTGATTCAAAATAAAAGATCATAGCCATAAGAGTTGCTTTTAGCAGTTGGTTATTCAGTCACTGATAGACCTTATAAATAGTGTAAAGCAAAGGTGATGGAGAAAGCACTTAATTTGGGAGTCACGAAGATGTGAGCTTGAACCTAGCCTGAGACACTTACTAGCCATGTGACCCTGGGGAAGTCATATAACTTTGCTCAGTCTTAGTTTCCTCATCTGTAAAATAATGATAAAAATAGCATCTTCCTCCCAAGGTTGTCGAGAAGATCAAATGAGATAACAATTGTAAAGAACTTAGCACAATGCGTGGAACATAGTAAGTGCTATATAAAATTTAAGTTATAACTTCTCTCAGCCTTAGTTTCCTTAACTGTAAAAGGGAGTATAACAGCACCTATCTCACAGGACTGTGAGGATTAAATGAGATAACATATGTCAAGAACTATGTAAACCTTAATGTGCTATATAAGTACTACCTATTATTATTCATAGGCCAAAATTTTGACCTGTTGTTATTCCTGTCCCTATTTAAAATTTACAGGGTGGGATTTCTGTTCAGGTCTCGGTTCAATTGGAGAGTATCTCTAAGCTTCTAGGTATGTGTAGGTCACTAACACTGCTTCAGATATACTATCAATGTGTCTGCTACTCACCACTAGTGTGACCTTGGACAAGTCCTTAAGCTCACTGGGCTTCAGATTCCTCAGCTGTAACAAGACAGTGCTGAACCAGATGACCTGTGGGATCTCTTCTGGCTCTAAAACTGATCCTATGAATCACTTCAACAGCCCTAAGCTTTCATGTATCAGTTTTCTCAAAAGCAGAGCATATATGCACTTTTAATAAAGTGAACTTAAGCATGGAAAACTTATTTTAAAGTACAAAGATAAAAGTTCCTATTTTTTTATTTTACTCTCTACACTCAGAAGCCATAACTACTGTGAAAGGGTTAAAAAACAAGGTTTAGGGGTTACAGGACGAAGGCTCTGCAGCCTAATACATGCAACTGATTGCAAAAAGTACATATTGGTCCTGCTAAAATTAGTTTTTTGACCATCAGGAGGACCTTAGGTTAGTCAGAGGTGAGCGATCCTTGGCCTCAAGGCCACATGTCGCCCTCTAGGTCCTCAGGTGCAGCCCTTTTACTGAATCCAAACTTCACAGAACAAATCCCCTCAATAAAAGGATTTGTTCTGTAAAATTTGGACTCAGTTAAAAGGCTGAACTCAAGGACCTAAAAGGCCACGTACTGCCTCAAGACTGCAAGCTCACCACCCCTGGGTTAGATATTTAAGAAAATCTTCCCACCAAAACTATGTGGGCATTTGTAGCTGTCAGAATATTTAAGAAAAGGAAAAACAAAAAAAGTATTTCCTTTTCACTTGCAACTATCACTTTTCCTCAAACTCGGCTCAATTACATTTTTTATTCCAATTTATTTCATAAGTCTGGATAACTACAATTATTCCACAAAAAAAATATACTTTTAACATTTGAATTTTGGTACATACTTCTGGACAGCGTGCCTATAGGCAAAACACACACCTAGACAATTTCTTTTTGGATGCCCCTGCTGTAGGTATCTCACATTCAAAAATGGTTGTTACTGGAAGAGCTATAAAATGAATCACTTTGCTCTTCTTGACAATATTTAAATAACTCCTGGCATTACCAGTATTATCTCAGTCCTACTAAGGAGAAAAAAGTATAGTCATCTTTTAATTTAGTCTGAAATACATAAATAGGACTTATGAGACCTTTCTAAAAATTAAAATAAATCACTTAAGATTTTTTTTCTTCAATATTCAATACAAATTACACCAAAAAATAAGATTTTCTTTTTCTTGGTGTTTAGACTATAATTCAAATTAGGGGTTTTTATATGTATGTCTCATTCTTACTTAAGTAAGCAGTTTCTTTATGGAAACCAATACCTCCATTCCTTTATTCCTTTTTTTCCCATGAAACATTCTGCTTTTAATCTACATTTTTTAGAAAGGAAGTCCATAAAAAAAGAAAAGAAAAAAGAAAGGAGGTCCATAAAAACAACACTTCTGGGAGCTGCAGAAAAAAATGATTCCCTTTCCCCAACCCAAATCTGGAACTTAAGAGATTTTTCACTTCACAGGAAGCAGAGTTTGTAAGAGAACAGCCATCAAAAAATCCTCTTCTAAAAGGACTTGAAGATTCCCTCAGCCCTGAATTTTCTCCTTATGAGAGAGAGTAAGAAAATTAAACAAGTGGATACCTTGGTTCATATGGCATTTTTAGTTCCAAGTTCATTTTTATGAAAATTTATTTTTATTTCAAGAAGGATAATAACCCTTTCTACACAAAAAACTGGAAGTTATACATTTGTGAAAATCACTAATCTCAAAATATTTATTTCAACATCTTAAAGGTAGGAGTCAATCAAAAGGTACTTTATATTTTGGGCTCTGACAAAAGCAAATTTGAAGTCAAGAAAAAGATTAATTAAGAATATATTATCACACAAAATACATTCATATACATTATCTGTAACAAAAAGAAAGCTTACTAGTATAGTCAGAATACTTTCTGAACTTAAATTTTGCTTTCAGTAAAGCATTAATACTAAATTTGGTATCAATTAGCTAACACAAAAGAATATCATAATAGTCTGTCTTAAGATTTCACCCACCAAAGTGAACACTAATTTATTTCAAGTAAGTCCCTTCAACAATTCAACAAAGAAATATTTACCAAATGTAAGGTACTATGTTATCCTGAGAATTCAAACATAAGGAAGACAAGAGTTCCTGTCCCCAAAAGAACCGTGTATAAAATTTTTGCAAAAGGGGCAGCTAAGTGGCACAATGGATAGAACTCTTGCCTTGGAGTCAGGAGGACCTGAGTTCAAATGTGACCTCAGACACTAGCTGTGTGACCCTGAGCAAATCACTTAACCCCACTGCCTCACCAAAAAGCAAAAAAAAAAAAATTGCAAAGCACTTTACATTTTATTTCAGTAGGTGCTGTTATTACTTCCATTTTACAGGTGAGGAAACTGAGGCACACAGCCGATTAAGTGACTTGCCCAGAGTCACACAGTTAGTAAGTGTCTGAGACTGCATTTGAACTCAGGTCTTCCTGACTCCACTGCACCATCTCATTGGCCTTATATAAATGAAATGAACCAGCTGTGTTACCTCCTAGCTACTGAAGTATTCTCCTAAGCTTGTGCTAATGATATATCTGCAAAATAAACTGCAGGCTGAAAAATAAACAAAAAATAATATTTCATCCTATGATAAATGGGATAAGGCTTCTAAAGTAGTATTTAGCACCCAACATTTAGATCATGATCTTTAACCAGAGATTCTCTAAATACTCCCTCAAACATTTTACCTAGCAGGATATTAGTATAATGAAGTTTTTAAATAAGTTTCCTTCTAAGAAATTGTTCAGGAGTGAAGAGTAAAATTTTTCTGGAAAATAAACTAGTAACACCTCTGTTTCAACATATGCTAAAAACTTGTCAAGTTTTGTAAATGTTAAATGCTTTAAATTATTTATCTAAAGAAGGATATAGCCCAAAAAAAAATTTTTTTTAAATAAAGGGTATAATTAGAGAAAATTATACAAAGAACAGATTAAATATAATATTTAGAGCTCCTTGTATTGTATCTTTCTTCCTTGAAAAAAGGAAAGTATTGTCCATTGGAATGATTATTTCTTGTATTTCACAGGCTATATGATAAAACTGTAAAGGCACTTACAGGAAGACAAGACTATGGATACATTATTGGTGGAGCTGTGAACTGAGTCCAGTCATTCAGGAAAATAATTTGGAATTATGCAAAAATTTGACTATAATATCTATACCCTCTGACCAGAGCTTATTATTGGCATGGTGCCTGGCACAGAGTAGATGCTTAATAAATGTTTGTTGACTGACTAGTCTGAGAGGCTGCTGCTAGGCACATATCCCAATCAGCACAGAAGTGGACAGAATAGATATCCATTAGTAATGGAAAAGTTGAATAAATTGTGGCACATGAATGTAATGGAATATCAGTGCAACATGAATAGGGACAATTCAGAGAAACATGCCAAGACCCAGATGAACTGATAAAGTAAGCAGAAAGGTAAACAAGATAGATATATAGATACAGATATATTTTTTACTACAACAATGAAAATGGGAATAACATAAAAATGAAATCAAACATCTAATTAGACTAAGCTCACACACACACAGTAGGTTAAGGCAGACAAACAGAGTAAAGAGGCCTGATTCTAGAAGAGATGTCAAACTCCCCTCTGATTGGAGCCCAAACCAGATTCAAATGTAATTGGGAAATGTTTTAACAAAATAAATAAAAATTCAATAGGACATAATGTTAATATGTAGTTTTCTAAATCAATATGCTGCCTGCCAGGGTCTTACTGGTATTAAGTTCAAATTGAGGAGGTGGGGGAGTTAGAGAGGACACTAAACCATACATAAGGATCCCTGAAGGGCGCATATTGACTTAGAAAACCACATTTTAACATTATCTATGTTCAATTTATTTTTATTTTGTTAAATATCTCTCAATTACATTTTAATCTGGTCCAGCTCAGTCAGCAGTGCTACAGGCCACCAGTGGCCCTTGGGACAATGTTTGATACCTCTGCTCTAGAACAGCTGTGTCAAACTCAAATAAAAAGAGATACTGGAGGGTAG